GAGCAAAATACTGGGAAATAACATTGGTCAAATTATGCTGTTACATTGTATACATGTAAGTAATAATGAATCCCATCATTACATGAAATTATAATTCACCAATTTAAAAAGTGGAAAAAACATACAAAAAATTAAAGATTCCCCACTTTGGAAAGGAAAAGAGCAAACACCTGGCTAAAAGGTTTTGAAATGAGCATACTATAAGCAAGGACTTACATGCCTTGTATATGATATGCCCTATTCCCTACTATGAGCAGGCATATGTATACAACATCTTTATTTGCAAGATTAACTGAGATTGCCAGGTTGGCCTAAATCCTAGCTACTGGGGAGGCTGAAAGAGGAAGACTGAAAGTTCAAGACCAGGCTGAGCAACTTAGGGAGACCCTGTCTCAAAATAAAATAAAAAGGGCTTGCCAGGCATGGCAGAGTGTGTCTGTAATTCCAGCTACTCAGGAGGTTGAGGCAAGAGGATTCCAAAGTATAGGTCAGTCCTGGCAATTTAGTAAGCCCCTGTCTTTAAAAAAAAAAAAAAAAAAAAAAAAAAAACTAAAAAAGGCAGGGAATATAGCTCAGTGGAAGACCCTGGGCAAAGGAAGAATAAAACAAAATACTGCAACTCAATCACCCAATGGAGTATATATCTCACATCATAAGTGAAACACCAGCTTTATATATACCTCCTGTTTCTCTCAATTTATGAAGGTTCACTATCTCCAGATTTACACATAAACGTGAGCAGTTAAATCATTAACTCCCCCATTTTCCTTTTTACAAATTAGACAATAAAAAATGCCTCCTGCTGTATAACCAATGTGATCCTGCAATCTGTACACATAGAAAAATGAGATTACGTACCCCATTTGAATCAAATGTATGATGTCAAAATCATTGTAATGTCTTGAGAAACTAATAAAAAAATATTAAAAATAAATAAATAAAATAAAAAATGCCTCCTAAGTGGGAGAAACTTGGAATATAATGATATCATTGAACAAAGACATTTGTATGCACTCAGGACTCTAAAATGTCAAGGCAGTAACATTTATCTAGGCCATGGAAAATATTTCCTTCAAAATCAGAAAGTGCTTAAGTAAAATGGCTGCTACTCAGTTTTCAGATTTTGCATTCCCTAAAGCACTCTTTATACTTTTCTACTTTTTCATAAAAGATCTGATAGCAGGAATATTCCACTGCATTCCATGTGCAATCAGCTATAATCCCTGTGAGCAGCAATACAGGCCAGTTTGCCAGCACAGCAGCCTTTTAATGAAGCTAACACACATGGCTACAGCATACTCATTTCATCTCATTTTTGCAAGAATGTATGCACTCTCCCCATCTAAACCCACCACTTAACCATTAATATTCCAAACATCCACTACACTGGTATATTAGGTTAAATCCTATTCATTCCTCAAGGTTCAGCTTAACCACTATTTTTCATCAACGACTCCTTGCATTTACTCTTTTCCAAACTCACACTTCTACTTTTTAAAAACACTTTTTTAATGGCAATTATCATTTGATCATTTTCATTCTATATTAGTTATTTGTGTATATCTTGGTATCTCCTATCACAAACTTTAAGGACGCCATAAAAAGGTAGGGTCCAATGATGCATTAGTCTCTCCAACTACTATACACTCATTTTACAGCAGACTCTCAAAAAGGTAAAAGGGAAAGAAAGGAAGGGCAAGGCAGAGCAGAGCCATTAGTCCAGTTTTGAACAATATGTGTTAAAAGAAATCATTAGCAGTTCAGCATGTGCTTGAGGTGGTCCAGAGATGGGTTTTCAAATACTAGTATAGCACTAGTATATTTCACATACTAGTATTCTCTAACTGAATATTTACTTTGTGTTCAAAATGAACCCCATTATTATGTATAAATACAATGCAATAATTTTAAAAGATTGGGAACCCAGACATTTCATCTATAATATTTAATCAAAAGATATATCAAGGGCTGGGGATGTGGCTCAAACGGTAGCTCGCTCGCCTGGCATGCGTGCAGCCCAGGTTCAATCCTCAGCACCACAAAGAGAGAAAGATGTGTCTGCGGAGAACTAAAAAATAAATATTAAAAAATTCTCTCTCTCTTTAAAAAAAAAGATATATCAATATTTTTAATAATTCTGGAGATTTTTGTGGGAGATAAGCCAAAATGGGTGAGTAGAATTTATATCCCAACCAATTCTAAAATTTTATAGACCTATTCTCAAAAGATTTAACTAAAAATCTTATTACCTTCTTCAATTTGCTTTCGACACAAATTAAAATATCTGAAATTCTTCAAGACTGAATATCACATTTGGATGATTTTACTTTATCCTCTAAACTGAATTCATTTTTTTTAAGAGAGAGAAAGAGAATTTAATATTTATTTTTTCATTTTTGGCAGACACAACATCTTTGTATGTGGTGCTGAGGATCGAACCCGGGCCACACGCATGCCAGACGAGCGCGCTACCGCTTGAGCCACATCCCCAGCCCCGACTTCATTTTTAATACAATTAAAATAATAAAGTCAAATAGTGAGTTGCCTAGCCTAGATACGAGACCTAACTCCTTCTTGATTAGCCATCAACAATCTCTTAGGGCTGGGGATATGGGTCAATCATGGAGTACTTGCCTTGCATGCTTGAAACCCTGGGCTCAATCCCCAGTACCAAAAATATAATTATAATCATAATCTCTTAGTAAGGTTTCTTTTTTTCTCCCAGTACTGGGGATTGAATCCAGAATTTCATGCATGCTAGGCAAGCTACATCCCCGGTCCATTTTAGTGAGTTTTAATCCATACTAGCAAAATCAGAAAACAAGCAAACCCACATTTATTTCTCTACAGAAAAACCTTACAAGAGTTTAAAGATGGTTTGTCTTCAACAAAACTCTGACTGAAGCCTGAGTCCCCAATGTAACAATATTGAGAGGCAGGAGGCACATGCCTGTAATCCCAGTGACTTGGGAGGCTGAGGCAGGAGGATCACAGCTTCAAGGCCAGGCTCAGTAACTCACCGAGGCCCTAAACAACTTAGCAAGACCTTGTCTCAAAATAAAAAACAAAAAAGGATGGCAATGTGTCACCATACCTGGCTAGACTACTATTTTTGAATCTTTTCCTTTTCTTTTCTCTTTCTTTCTTTTTCTGAGATAGGATCTTGCTATGTTGCCCAGCCTGGCCTTGAACTCCTGGACACAAGCAATCCTCCTGCATCAGCTTCCTGTGTAGCTGGGACTATAAGTACACACCACCGCACCCATGACTTGAATATTTTAAACTTGGAATGGAACCATCACTTGATCCAGTCATCCCACTCCTAGGTTTATACCCACAGGACATACAATCAGCATACTACAGTGACACAGCCACATCAATGTTTATAGCAGCTCAATTCACAATAGTCAAATTATGGAATCAACCTAGATGCCCTTCAATAGATGAATGGATTTAAAAAAACTGTAGTATATACATGCAATGGAACATTACTCAGCCTTAAAGAAGAATGAAATTAGCCGGTAAATGGATGGAAATGGAGAACATTATGCTAAGCAAAATAAGCCAATCCCAAAGAACCAAAGGCCAAATGTTTTCTCTGATATGCGGAAGCCAACGGGGGGAGGGTGTCGTCAAATTAGGGGGGGATATTGGAGTAGGAATGATAGTAGAATGAATCAAACATTATTACCCTGTACATATATAATTACATGACCTGTTTAACTCTACATCATGTACAATCAGACAAATGAGAAGTTATACTGCATTTATCAATGAAATACTTTAAGTTCTATATTAACTATCCTGAAATGTGGGCTGCAATATCTAGCTGGCTTTTATGGAACAAATATTGACCAACAGCAGACAGATGAGGTCAAAATGGTTACTTTAGAATTTTGTCTGAAAGATCAATGATTCTTCTCTATTGCAAAAATTATAGATTTAAAGATAGAAGAGCCTGCCTGTATTTTAAATAAAAAATTTTTTGCCCACAGACCCAAGTCACATTACATTCTTTCTTTCTTTTTTCTTTTTTTTTTTTTGGTAGCAGGGATTAAACCAAGGACTGCTTTACCACTGAGCCATATCCCCAGCCTACCTGCCCCCTTTTTAAAAATTTCTTTATAAATGTTTGTGGAAATAAATATGTTTAACCTTATTTAAACGTTACTGAAGAAGGCCAAGCACAGTGGCATATGCCCATGACCCAGCGACTCTGGAGGCTGAAGCAGGAGGATTGCAAGTTTGAAGCCAATCTCAGAAACTTTTTTTTTTGTTACCAGAGACTAAACTCAGGGGCACTCAACCACTGAGCCACATCCCCAGCCCTTTTTTATATTTTATTTAGAGAAAGGGTCTCACTGAGTTGCTTAGATCCTTGATAAGTTGCTGAGGATGGCTTTGAATTCATGATCCTCTGGTCTAAGGCTCTCTAGCTGCTGAGATTACACGCCCATTTAGGAAGATAAATTTTAAGACCATCTTGGCAAGTTCAAATGCTATTTAAAATAGAGAAAGAAGGGCTGGGGATGTGGCTCAAGCAATAGCACGCTCGCCTGGCATGCATGCGGCCCGGGTTCAATCCTCAGCACCACATACAAAGATGTTGTATCCACCGAGAACTGAAAAATAAATATTAAAAAATTCTCTCTCTCTCACTCTCTCTCTCTCTCTCGGGACTTTCATAGCTATTTTATGTCATGATTTAATAAAATCTCTGCTTACATCTTTACTGTCATTAAGATGTCAACTACTTAGAAGGCATTAATAATAGCTAAATCAGTTCATTTATTCATGGTTTCCAATTATAAAGAGCAAAATACACAGTCCACATTTAAGTACTGCAGCAAATATCTCAGAGGAGGAAGCAATGAATGGATCATTCAGAATGGCAAAGTTCAAAGTGTTAACATACAAATGTTCATTTATTCTGATCACAGAAAGAAGGGCAGGGAGGGAGGTGAAGAAGGTGAGATACAGAACTGAGAATATGCACTCACTGGTCGAGTTGCCTTGCATCTGAATGATGCACTTGGACTCCTTGCTGGTCTCTCGAGAATTGAAGGGCCTCACACGGACAGCAACCTTCACTGAGGCTCCCGACATTCTGATGGCCTTTGTAATGTATATGCAGTCCAGAAATAAAGTATCAAATCTTCTTTTGAAGTTATGTTCAAGTTTCCTTTAAAAAGAAAAAGGTTCCATACAAGATAGTCAAAATTAAAGGAAACACAAGCAAACTGAAGCCTAAGAGTTCTACTTATTTTCACTTCTAGAAATCTCATTCCCTTTCTCCCCCGACAAGTCATATAGCTAGTAGTAAATTATCAAATATCGAAGAAAGAAATTTGGTTTCCTACTCTATTATCTCCTTCTCATATCTAAAAAAAAAAAGTCCCTAAACTTTTAAAACTCTAAAACAACAACAACAAAAACAAAAACAAAAAAAACAGGCATCTATCTTGCTTTCTGTATTTCTGGATCAATCTTCAAAGGTAAATGAAAAATTTACAATGTTTATTTGTTAAAAGAGTTCCTTGAACAGCTAACTTCCCGTCTGCAAACCCCCTATTTCCTTTCTTTAAAGAAATGTATTGAATTTTATACTTTTAATTACAGTTTGAACCATTTGGTTATACCATGTGTAATTAAACAGCAAAGGACAGAGATAAGTTTGTGCTGGCTCCTTTAATTACCCCTATGTAGTAATTAACTTGGAAGTTCCTTGGCATGCATCCCATTTGACCTGCAGGAGCACTCTACACAATAAGCAGAGAAGATTCCCACAGACTCAGGTCCTACACTTCAGATGTGCCAGGGACTCATGGCAGAATGTAGTGAAATCACTACATTTCACTACTAAAAGAAGCCAGAAAAAAATATATATTAATATTTTCTGAGGAATAATTCCCATCCCAACAGAACAACATCAACACTCTTCAGTGAAAAAAAAAAAAAGTATGTAATCTCCACAAGAAGCAACCTCTCTCTCTCTCTCTCTAGTCAGGAAGAATTCTACACTCTATTCATTACTCTATTAATATTCACGAATAAAATGAAAAGGGAAAAGTTAAAAAAGAAAAGTATTTATGAGTCCAATTATCAGGGAACCCAACCAGTATTTAAATCTGACTAATTTTTTTCCACATAATTAAACAGTTTAGAAATACTAACCTTCAGTGGCACAACACTACCAATGTTTTCCCCAGGAAAAGGCAAAAAATAAAACCCGAGTCACTCTCTACCTCAGTGCACTAATTCTCCTAGCAGTAGTATCAATGTCCATCTCTCAGGCCATACCAAAGTATTCAGAGATCTCCTGTCCTATGTGCTAGCAGTTAGAACAGTACCTGTTTGAAGAGCTCAGTGTTTGTTGAACAAATAAATTAATGAACTGGATTACAGAGCTGTGGGAATCATCTGTTTGAGTCTTTGTCTATTTGCTGATTTTTGGTTTTGCTTTAAATGATCACAATATTTTTAATACTAATATTTTTATATATGTTGCAATGTTTTTTCCAATCTGTTTTTCATTTCACTTTATATGGAACTAATAGTACTTTATTTAACATATCAAATATTTTTGTGATTGCATTTATCAAATGAAAACTTTGGGAATTATTATACCCTCCAATTGATATAGTATATCTTGTATTCACCAGTTAAGTACCATGCCAAAAAGATGATGCATTCTAATAAAACATGATATCAAACACATTTCAACCTCCTAGAGTTTCCTTTAATATATAACCATCATCTCAACTTTCATCATGTCCATATCTTCTTTCCCAAACTAATAATTTTTCAATCTTCCCATTTCTGCCAACATCATTCTCCCAGGCCCCATTATTTAAGTTCTGGGGTCATCTTTGTTTTCTTCTCTTAGAATCCTTGTATTAGTATTGACATTATTCATGACAAACCATAGGAAAACTTTTCAGACAGAAATTTGCGTTGTTGTGGTCCCTCCTACCTCTTCTCCTCATTGCCTTCCCCTCCCTAATCCATGGACTCACTACCACATGTCTAGAATACTTGAAACAGATGAACTCTTCTTTGAATTTTAGTCTTTGACTCAATAGAATCAAACAGAGTTACACAAAACAAAATCACACAGCAGTCTTTTGAAAAGCAAATGAGCCTAGACTCCCTCCTCCATGAATTAAAAGGGGAAAAACTAGATTTAAAAAGATGCTACTGCTTAATCTATTTATAAAAGTAAACACAAATTGTCTCTGGAAGCAAATCTAATACAAGTTGCTTATCTAATACAAAACTTTAAAGATGGGATCCTGACATTAGGGTTTTTGCTTTGGTTTATCTTTCAAAGATTATGTTGTAGATCCCTACACAAAAACCACTGCTTTAAACTACTGCTAAACCATGTTAGAAGATCAACCTTTCTAAAGTATGACTCTCCCTGTCGCTCTCAATTGTGAGAACATTCTCATATTCCCCTGTGCTTCCAAAATCAAGACCAAAGTGAAGATACTCTGTTCTAGCCAAGCTCCTTCACTATCCCACAAACACCTCCTATTTCTGCCCAACAATGGGCATACCGGTTTTCTCTCTCTTTTTTTTTTTTTTCTCTCTCTCTCTCTCACCCAGTCTCATCTCTTCCAAAATACCTAACCCAAACATTCTAGGAATCAATCAATGGTTCTTACACTTCAAACACTGGAACACACTGTGAGACACTGCTATCGTTTTACATAACTGCATTCTATCTTGCACTATTCCTTTTATTTTTGGTATCACAGATTGAACCCAGTAGGACTTAACCAATGAGCCACATTTTCAACCCATTTTTTTAATTTTTAATTTTGAGAAAGGGTCTCCCTAAGTTGCTAAGGCTGGCTTTGAACTTGTGATCCTCCTGCCTCAGCCTTTCAAGCCACTGGAATTACAGGCATGCACCACTACACCTGTATTTTTAATAGCTTCTTAAGGTGAAAATTTTATTTCTTAAAAAAATCTCCTTGAACTTGCACTCCTTGAAAATTTCAAGTCTGGGCAAGAAATTTCAAGGAAATCCTAGAACATTTTGTGTGCCCAAGAGCAAGATCCTATCAAAGATGAATGGATCATGTCCAAAGGACAGGGGTGCCAGCCTAAAGGAGCTCTCACTGACCAAACCGGATAATTAAAGCATTGAAAGAAGAAGAAGAAACTGCAAGGAAAACATCAAATACATGAAGTTATGAGTTTATAATGACACTTTAGAAAATCTCAAATTATCGACTGGGGTATGGGCTATGTAGCATGCATGAGGTCCTGGGTTTGACCCTTTGAACCACCAAAGAAAAAAAATAATAAAGAAAAATCTCAATATTTTGAAAAACTAGCAAAATATAAAATATCCCAGGATAAACTATAATAGTCAGTGAGGGTAGGTTTTTTATTTTTAATACCTTTTTTTAAAATTTATTTTATCTATTTATTTTTAAAAGCTTGCTTGCTTGCTTTAATATTTTTGCAGTTATAGATGGACACAATATCTTTATTTTGTTTGTTTATTGTATGTGGCGCCAGGGATCGAACCCAGTGCCTCACACGTGCTAGTGCTCTACCACTGACCCTCAACCCTGGCCCAAGGGTAGGTTCTTTACAGAAAAATTCTAGCTAATAAATGGAAAAGATATTACCTAGAATATCACTACTGATATAAAGGCTTTCTGACACAATACCACTGGCTGTTAAAATGCATTGCATGTAAGGATGGTTGGTGGGAGAAGCTGAGAATACTCAAACCAAATGATCAGTTTTGTGTATATAATGTGCATTCACCTATGCTAGGGATTGAACCCAGGGCTTCATGCATGCTAGGAAGTGCTCTACCACTGAGCTACATCCCCAGGCCTTTTAAAATTTTGAGACAGTGTCTCACTGATTTTCCCAGACTGACCCTCAAACTTGCAATCCTTCTGACTCAATCTCCTGAATAGCTGGAATTACAAGACATGCACCACCATGTCCCACTCAGTTGATCAGTCTCAACACCACTAGAAGTAGGACACCAAGGTCATATAGCCCCTCTTGATGGACTACACAGAAATACACAGCACCACCTAGGAAGTATTCTTGCCCCATTCCCTCCTTGCCCCACTCCCTTAGAAAGAAACTGTAACAGGGCTAGAGTTGTGAATCAGTGGTAGAGCACTTGCCTAGCATGTATGAGGCACTGGGTTTGAGTCTCAGCACCACATATAAGTAAGTGAATAAAATAAAGAAAAAAATAATAAAGAAAAATCTCAATATTCTGAAAACTAGCAAAATATAAAATATACATAAAATAAAAAATGAAGTTATAACAGAATGAAATCTTAGATCTAACTATCAGTTCACCAGATATATAGGGAGCAAAGAGGCAATTCAGATGAGGTGCCAAAGATACAATCAGCCAAATTCAAAATGTGGGAAAATCTACAGACCAAGATGCCCTGTTTAATCCAATAAACAGCATAACTTGGGAGGAAGCGTTATAAAAGAAGCTTGCATTATCAACCATATGCAAATATTTTTTTCAGTCAAGAAAATCTATAGAAACTAATTTTAAAAAATAATCAGGAATAGAAAAGCCCGATGCAGTGGTGCCGCCTATAATCCCAGCTGCTCAGGAGGCTGAGGTAGGAGCATTCCAAGTTCAAAGCCAGCCTCAGCAATTTAGCGAGGTCCTAAGCCATTTAGTGAGGGAGGCCCTGCCTCAAAGGGCTGGCAACATGGCTCAGTGGTAAAGCACCCTAGGATCAATCCCCAGTACCAAAAAAATTTTAAAAATTTAAAAAATAATCAGGAATAGAAAAAGCAAGATTGCCAAAGAGCCAACAGTTATTAAATACTATAGGTATTTAAATTAATTTATGTATGTGTATGTGTGTTCTACCCAGGGCCCACTGGAGTGTTGAATACTTCTGACTTAACAAACAAGACAGCCCTGGCTAAATCCTCTTTTTACTGTGCTTCTGATATAAGGTATAAGGTAGTATGCATTTGTAACTATGAACCAAAATACTAACATTTCCAATATCAAAGTCCTTATACAATTCATGTTTTCAGGAGACTGCTTGATTCCTCTATCTAGCTATCTTATCAGTAAAATATCTCTCCTCCAAACACTACCAGATCTTTTACCTCTTTTCCTTTTTCTTTTCTTTCTTTTTTTTTTTTTTTTTTGTGTGTGTG